TGGCAAAACACATCCGATAGCTCAATCCGGACGGACGCGAATGATTTAAGGGTCAGTGTTGGAGATACCCTCAGAGACCATGAATATCAATTTTAAAAACTCTCATTTACATGCTGATTTCCCATGACTGAAACTCCGGTTACTTGATAATAAAGGCACAGTAAGCTATTCCAAGAGTAAGTTGCAAAAAGAAAAGTTATTCCAAGATTTCTGAAATTTCCATATACTTTGTTTCATGCATTCAGGCATACTCTTTTTGTTAAATACCCAAAATATAAGTTTGTATAGGCTAAATACGTTGCAAAGAGGAAATTGCCCGTTTTCAGCTTCGTCTGACAGCTTTGGCCTTTTGGAGTTCAGAGCAGGGAATCCTTCCAACGAAACTTTTTGTTTTGCCAGTTGCCACTGTATTCATTCGTACGTTAGAGGCAAACCGGTTCTTTCCTAATTGAGAGAGTGGAACGGTCGAGAGAGCTCCTGCCAACCGCCGGGAATAGATTGAGCAGCGGATTCTTGTTAGCCAGTCAAGTCAAGGTAAAAGTTAACAGAATCTACTTGTCCAAAAACATGTCAAACAAAGGACAAAGTTAATAATCCTAACGCAGTGTATACCCTGTGATTCAGCTGTTCAACTGAAAAGCCTGCAGCAAACAGAGTGAAGAGAAAAGTCTGCACCAACAAGGGCGCTAGGGGTTCTCCCACACTACTAATTCTGGCTTTTCAAGGACCAGCAGAAAGGTCAAGAACACAGCATAAACAAATGAAGTCCAAGTCAATGCCTCGGTATATGCATATCCTGGTTTACCCTTTCTTGGGCCTGTCAACACGGGAAGAAATTTCCAACTACTATAAGTCAACAATGTTTTATCTCCAATGGGAGTTTTCTGTATGCCTGTATGTTTCCAAGCAGGGTATGGACATGGCCGATTGTCCCAATCCTGGAGAAGAAACTACACAAGTGTAGCAAATTAATGATACCAAAAAGGGACAGTTGCATCCACCTTACAGTGCAATCAGCTAGGGCACCCCAATTTCACTTCAACCTCCTGCTTTGAAGTGCACAAATCACATCATGAGGAACAAGTACAATGAGGAGGAGGAGAAATGTACATGTATTTGTGCATATGAGGAGAATGGTGGTCAAGCACAAGGATGAGCATAACACGTCTGCGGCTCCTCCGAATGTGACAGCCAAAACTATATGCACCTGCAAGTCTGCACTTGACAAAAGGGTCTACATTCTCATCCCGGTTATTCAAAGGATATTGCTTCAAGCCTACAAAATATGATCCAGTGAAGCAATGGCTCTTATACACGAGTGCTTCGAAGGAACAGCAAAACGCAAAACCATTGATATAACATCGGCAGCCTTTTCTCTAAAGTAACACTGGTAGCTTGAAAGAAGAAACGCTGCAAAAATCAACATTTCGGTTAGAAATTTCAGATAATGCCATCCATCAAACTTGCAATTGCAATGCACACATACCTTTAACAATTCAGGCACTTGTGACCATGCTACGTATTCTTCATTTAGCTTAGATACACAAACTTAGATGAGACAGCAGTAGCAAGTAGCAGTTGCATCACCATGTATAGAACTGATCTCTAATTCATATACAACTATTCAGATAATGATAATTTGCATTTCAGCATTTGTGCATCTTAAAACTTTGAGACAATCCTAGTATTCATGATGCTTGCTACATGTGATGATTTGCATTTCAGCACTTGCAATAGCCATACAGATTTGAAATGATGAAGCGGTGGCAATCACCGGCCACATGTGTGTAAATACTTTCTCTTCATTCCTTCGATTACCTTTTTCCAATTAATGAAACAACAACAGCAGCAAATCACTCTTGAAATACCACAGAGAAAGATAAGGAAAAGCTCAGATTTCCTTGCTCGCAGCTTACATGACTCAATTATTCACATATCGAATCAAAGTGGTAAGAAGAAAAAAAAAAGAAGAAGGAAAGAAAGTAAGAAAAAAAAAGTGGCAAGAATTATCCATTTCTAGCAAAGAGAGAACACCACGAGATCATCGGAAGACGGACCGGAGCGGAGCGGGGGCAAGCGCTTTTCTCGTTCCTTTTCCCAGTTCCCCTCCCACGAATCCTTGCTCTCGTCGTCGTGGAGCTAGAGGCGGAGCAGCGTGTCGTACCGGCAGGTCATCTGATCGGCCTCGGCGTCAAGCGCCCCCTCCTGCGGGGGCGGCATGTTCAGATCGAAGGGCAGCGGGGAGCGGGAGGCGGCCGCGTCGTCCGCGCCCTCCTCGAGGAGGACGGAGGACGAGGAGCCGCAGTAGCTGCGGCAGTCCTCCTCCCCCTCCTTGGCCGTGCCCGCTCGGGCGGCGCTGCGGGCCCTGGCGGGGGCGCGGGGCCCGCCGCCGCTCCAGGACTCGACGGTGCTGCTCTGGCTGGACGTGGCGGCCGCGGCCGCGGCCGCGGCCGCGGGGGGAGGGGGCCTCGCCGGCGGCTGCGTGGCGGAGGAGGGCGGGAAGTTGGTGCGGGCGGTGGGCCCGCGGAGGGATCGGGCGGCGGAGTCGTAGGCGCGGGCGGCGTCCTCGGCGCAGTCGAAGGTGCCGAGCCAGATCGGCGTCTTCTTGGCGGGGTCCCGGATCTCGGCGGCGTAGCGGCCCGAGGGGCGCTTCCGCACGCCGCGGTACCGGATCTCCGGCGACTGCTGCGACGGCTGCGGCTGGGGCTGCGGCGGCCTCGCCTTGCGCATCGCGGCCGGCCTAGGGTTTGGTCACAGTGGCGTGTGTCTTTCCCTTCTTCCCCTGGTGGTTTTTTGTTTGGGCTCCCTCCCTTGGCCCCTGGCCTGCCTGGGTGGGAAAGCGGGAGGGGAGGGGAGGGGGAGGGGGAAGGGGATGGGGGGCGGACGCCTGCTTTGGTTTCTCCTCCTCCTCTCACGCGCGCCCCGGCTCGGCTCGGCTGCCCGCTGCTGCTGGTCTGGTGGTGGTCGCTACGCCTACGCTACTCGCTCGAGTACGACTACGGCCGATCCGGCTCTGCACTGCTCTGCTCCACCACTACGACTGGGGTATGGTCTGGTTTGGTTGGGTCTGGCGTCTGGGTGGCGTGCCTTTTTGTATTAAAATCCGGGCGACGCCTGGATTTGGGGTCGGCATTCCTTCCTGCCCCTGTTTCTTTCTGCTTGGGCGCGTCGCGTCGCGTCTCGCGTTGCTCTAATTTCTTCGGCACACAGGCGGTTCCCACACAGGCAGCCGGCTGGATACGACCCGCCCGTCCCGTCCCGTCCCGGGGTATATTCGGGGTTAGTGGAGAGTAATTTGGGGACGGCACGATTAGGCGGCGATATTCTGGTGGCTGGCTTGTAGAGACCCGAGCGTGCCTTCTGCTCTGAGAAGCAGCTAGTACTGCTGCGTACGAATGATTTGGGGTTAAGAAGCAACGGTAAATTTCCACGAACTTGATTTCCAAAAAGAAGATCGACAGGCTTGCTTTGTGTAATTCTATCCAAATTTTCAATAGCACGCCGTTCGGATGCGTCACGTCATTTGGACGACAGTATGTGAGTATGGAATTTCAAGAATTGAGATTGTATCTTGGCAATCTCGGGCGCTAGGACTGTTGGATGGTAGGAGAATCGAATTTTAATTGAAAGCTCAAATTCCACGGGTTTTGTCAGACAACGAGGAAAAGTCATCTCTGTAGAGGCGGGCCCTTGGACTGATGGCGGTGCTCAGGGGCGTGGGAAGACCCAACGAGGAAAATATTGTAGACAAGCCCCAGGCTACCCGGGCCATGGCCTGGGGCGTAGCAAGTGAACACAATGTTGACTGTAGCAATATTATCGTACTGTAGCTACAATATTCACTGTAGCCCAAAGGCTGGCCCGGGGCGTGGGAAGTTTCTGGCTACGGCACTGGCGGTGCTTCTTCTTTAGGTTAGTTTTTCGTGCTTCGATCCTTCTCAAATTCGTTCGTGGGGCCGGATTAGACGGATCTCTGACGTAGGTTCTTATCGGCTCCCTGCCCAAGGAGGGGCTTGTGTTTGATTAGCTAGTTGGTGAGGTGATAGCTTACCAAGGCCCGGACTGGGACTAAGGCACAGCCCTGACTCGTACGGGAAGCGGCAATGGAACATTTTCCGCAATGGGCGGAAGCCCGATGGAGCAATGTCACGTGGAGGTGGAAGGCCTACGAGTCGTCAACTTCTTTTCTCGGAGAAGAAACACTAACGTGTCTAAGGAATAAGCCCAGAGCGGCTCCATTTCATTATATTTCACTTCCTAGCACTTCCTATAATTTAATATCCATCTATTTGGTCTTATTGACATAAGAGATGTCATTATCAATAAAATAGATCCTAATGACGGTCCATTGATACCCAGTCTCCAGTGGAAATCAAAGACATCTATAATTCTATCAATTCCAATGGATTGGCATAATTTTTCTACCGCGTGTACATCCCCATAACAATAATGTTTCTCTAAAAGAAAACTCTGTTGTTCCACATCTTGGACTAACCCTCAGTCTCCAACCCGTAGGAACTACCAGATCACCCCAAGGACGCCTTCGACATCGAGGGGTCACGGACCGTTCATAGCCCCTGTTCAATGAGTGGAACACGTTAGTCGTCCGCTCTCCTGTTGAGCAATAAGGGTCGGAGAAGGGCAATCACTCGGGACGGCGAGGTCAGGGTTTCCCGTCGTCCGTACGCGATGGCAAGATTAGTGCCAAGTTCTTCAGATTGAATCAAGGGCTCAACAACGATTGGGTTCTGGGGTGCTGGTTCTTAGGGACACTACTTCCTCTAATCTAGTAAGTTGGTAGGGCCCCGGGTGCGAAGACTTGTAGGCAAGCAACAATTTTTCTCAAGCGGGTGGCCTTAAGATTTCAAACCAGTAAGAGCGCTTGAACAACAATAAATGAGTAGTACCTACATACAGTTAAAAGAACACACCAGGCCCCCCGGTGATTGTTAAAAAATAGAACATACCAACAATAAATTCCTTGATTTATATAGTAATATGAATGCACTTTCATTTTTATAGACAAACATATGTTGCCATACGATTGCACATGTGGTAGAAAACACCAAAATTCATATCAAATGAAGATTTGTCTACCAGGAAATATATTAAACAGACGCTATATTGACACTCGATATGTTGTGGTTTTTATGTCAGTTTTGCTAAAGTTCATCTAGATATCAACTTTTTATGTCTTAGTTGATCATTTTGCCTTTTCGCCCCCCCCTATGTTCAAATTCTGGCTTCGCCCCTGGCTGGACAAGTAGGAATTTGTCGTGCATGCTACGTTCGGGGCTGAAAACTTTGATTTGAGGAGACAATTTCACCAAGACACGGCATGTGAGAGCCTGGCTTATTAGGGATGATAGACTAGTCATGTCAACAAAGAATTCCTTCTTTTTCGGGAGTCCATCAGAAAGAACTCCAAAGTTAAGCATACTCGGCTTATATCAATTTTAGGATGAGTGAACAACTGGGAAGTTGATCCCAGATGTGCACGAGTGAGGGGAAAAAAGTGCAGGAAAAACTAGTATTGATCTATGGGGTTAGTCTAGATCCCGTCAGGAGTAACGGCCAGTAACCGGTGGATTTGTCCGGGGCGTTACACGGCGCCAACCATAGAGAGAGAACCTTGGCAAAGAATTTGGAAGTGTCTATTTCGAAGCAACATTGCTTAGAAGCCACTTGAATAAGAGGGCACTATTCTTGCTAGTGTTATTTGTAAACATGGAAATTTCTTAGTTTTATAAACTTTTGTGTTTCTATACTTGAAATTCAGCTTCATTTCTCCAAATTATGGTAAATGTGTGCGTCATCGAACACATAGCCTGAGAAAATTTAAATTCTCCTCTTTTTTCCAAAAAAATAAAACTTAAAATCCCCAACATGAAACTTACATTTCCAGGCGGAGGTTTTCAAATTTTAATTGAAAGTTGCTACTTCAAACTTGAAGTACTATGTGATGAGAGGGGAGAATATCACGTGATACCATCATTCAAGTGATACCATGATACCAGTTTGAAAATTTTCAATTTTAGATGTTTCAATTTTTTTTGAAAAAAGTTACGAATGTTCATCATATATATGTCTACCTCCCATAAAAAATTCAGATCAAAATGTGAAGTATACAAAGAGAAACAAAAAAGACAAATCTGGATGTGAATAGTGCCGTTTTTACACTATTCATCCGTTTGTCTTTATTGATACTATTCATGTTGGATTTCTCTTTTTTGTTTCTCTTTGTGTATTTCACATTTTGATCTGAATTTTTTAGGGGAGGTAGACATATATGTGTTGAACATTCACATTTTTTTTGAAATTTTTAACAAATCTAAGGTTGGATTTTTCAAACTAGTATCATGGTATCTCTACTATCTCTACTACTTAAAAATAACATAAGTTCCCGTTTCACCTTTCTTCCCAGCACCCCTTCGTCCAACCTTTCCCATATAATAAGCAATCATCTTAATTTACTTACCGTCTGAAATAATTCCAATTTAATTTACTTACCAAAGTTGTGATCAAAATATAAGGTAAATCATGACATAATTGGATGAACATTTATTTACACAATCGTATACTATGGGCAGGTAAATCATTAAATCACGAACAAAATTTGATGAACATTTATTTACACAAATTGCATATTATGCACAGATAAATCACAAGCTAACATACTAACTTCTACAATATTTATATTCCGTTGCAATGCACGGGCATTGTTCTAGTAACTTAAATGATGGTAGCATGTGATATTCTCCCGTGTCCCGTGATGGGAGTAGTACTACTTGAAACATCCAACCCAAAAATGAGAACCTGAGTCAATGTCTTGGGCTTCGAGTCAAACTTTGTCGCTCTCTGTGTTTGCAAGTGTTGTTTGTGAACATGCAAATTTCTTAGTTTTGCAGACTTTTGCGTTTCTAAACTTGAAATTCAGCTTCATTTCTCAAAATTATGGTAGTTGTGCGCGTCATTTAACACATAGCCTGAGAAATTTAAACTCTCCTATTTTTCTAAAAAAGAAAACTTGAAATTTACATCTCCGAGTGGAGGTTTCAATTTTTGGGCTGTATGTTTGAATGTAAATAGGAGTACGTGTGAGAGTAGTACTACTTCAAACATCCAGCCCAAAATGAGAACCTGAGTCAACTCTTGGGCTTCGAGTCAGACTTTGTCGCTCTTTGTGGTTTCGGCTCCTCGTCAACCAAGCAACCAGCTGGTCCCGAGTGCCGAAGGGTCGCCGGCTTCCATTCGTTGGCATATTTACACCGCGGTGACGAAGCAGTACACGAGGAGTTCCTCCTTGGTTCGTGCGGCAAAATTCATGTAAGTAAACAAAAATGAAAATACACCTGTTTATAGTGCTATCTATCGCAATCGACAGCAGCTCAACAACCCTCCCATTTACGAAAAAAAAAACTTCCCTGCTCTCCGATGTTGAGCCTCACCGTCGCCGCGAGCAGAGTTTTGGACTTCGAGGTCGAACACTACTCCATGGCCAGAGAGATGGCCGGATCCGGGGTGTCCTTCCAGTCCGACGCCTTCACCGTCGGCGGGTACGACTGGGCCGTGCGCCTCGCGCCCGCGCTGGGTGTATCGCTCAAACTCGCGCTGCTGAGCGAGATGCAAGCCGGCGAGCGTGTCGGGGTGAAGTTCGGGTTCACGCTGCTCGACAAGTCCGGCGAGGCGCCGGCCGCCGCGCTGCGGGAGAAGTTCTCAAAGTTCTTCTT